GTATTATTATTATTATTATTATTATTATTATATTGGCGGGGAGCAGATACAGGTTGAGAAACTGGTCTCTCTTTCTAAAGATGCTTCTTTTGGAGAATTGCAACAGTCCCCTCCCCCAGGATTTTCTTACGTATTATTATTATTATTATTATTATTATTATTATTATTATTATTACTATATTGGCTGGCAACAGCAGTGGAGGCAAGTTGAGAAACACATTTCTCATTCTGAAGATGCTTTCTTTGGAGAATTGCAAATCCCAAGGATTATATTACATTATTATTATTATTATTATTATTATTATTATTATTATGGATGGGAACAGAATCAGAGGTACGTTGAGAAACATCTCTATTGCTGGAGATGCTTCCTTTGGAGAATTGCAAACCCCCAGGATTATATATTATTATATTATATTATATTATATTATATTTATATTATATTATATTATATTATATTATATTATATTGACTGGGAACAGAAGCAGAGGCACATTGAGAAACACCTCTGTTGCTGGAGAGGCTTCCTTTGGAGAATTGCAAGCCCCCAATATTATATTATATTATATTATATTATATTATATTATGTATTTATTATTATATTGCCTGGGAGCAGATGCAGGTTGAGAAACAGGTCTCTCTTTCTAAAGATGCTTCTTTTGGAGAATTGCAACACCCCCCCCCCCCAGGATTTTCTTACGTATTATTATTATTATTATTATTATTATTATTATTATTATTATATTGGCCGGGAACAGAAGCAGAGGCACGTTGAGAAACACCGCTGTTGCTGGAGATGCTTCCTTTGGAGAATTGCAAGTCCCCAAGATTATATTATATGTATTATTATTATTATTATTATTATTATTATTATGGCTGGGAGCAGAAGCAGATGCAAGTTGAGAAACATCTCTCTTTCTGAAGATTCTTCCTTTGGCGAATTGCAAACCCTCTAGGATTATATTACATTTATTATTATTACTATTATTATTACTTATTATCATTATTATTATGGCTGGGAGCCGAAGCAGTGGCAAGTTGAAAAACAGATCTCTCTTTTTGGAGATGCTTCCTTTGAATAATTGCAAACCCTTCAGGATTATATTACATTTATTACTATTATTATTATTTACTTATTATCATTATTATAGCTGGGAGCAAAAGCAGAGGCAAGTTAAGAAACATCTCTCTCTTTCTGAAGATGCTTCCTTTGGTGAATTGCAAACCCTCTAGGATTATATTACATTTATTATTAGTAGTATTAGTATTAGTATTATGGCTGGGAGCTGAAGCAGAGGCAAGTTGAGAAACAGATCTCTCCTTTTGGAGATGCTTCCTTTGAATAATTGCAAACCCTTCAGGATTATATTACATTTATTACTATTATTATTATTTACTTATTATCATTATTATAGCTGGGAGCAAAAGCAGAGGCAAGTTAAGAAACATCTCTCTCTTTCTGAAGATGCTTCCTTTGGTGAATTGCAAACCCTCTAGGATTATATTACATTTATTATTAGTAGTATTAGTATTAGTATTATGGCTGGGAGCTGAAGCAGAGGCAAGTTGAGAAACAGATCTCTCCTTTTGGAGATGCTTCCTTTGAATAATTGCAAACCCTTCAGGATTATATTACATTTATTATTATTATTATTATTATTATTATTATGGCTAGGAGCAGAAGCAGATGCAAGTTGAGAAGCAGGTATCTCTTTCTGAAGATGCTTCCTTTGAATAATTACAAACCCCCCAGGATTATATTACATTTCAAAATTATTATTATTTATTTATTTATTTATTTATTATTTACTTTGCTTATATACCGCTGTATCTCAAGCCCGAAGGCGACTCACAGCGGTTCACAAACAGTAGAAACAGTAGAAACAGCAGTGGTTCCATACAACATATAACAATTGACTTAACACATTATCCATAAATTACCAATAAGCAATTACAATGCACAATTATTACAAAAAACAACCGTACCCAATCTTCTCATCATCCAAGCGTAGTCCAGATTCGTCGTCCATTGTTCCATTCCTATGTTCCATTACCAGATTGTACTAAATTACTCAAACGCCTGCACAAACATCCAGGTCTTCACCTTTTTGCGGAATACCATTAGAGATGGTGCTAGTCTAATGTCCGTAGGAAGGGCGTTTCACAGCCGAGGAGCCACCACCGAGAAGGCCCTATCTCTCGTCCCCGCCAGCCGAGCTTGAGAAGCAGGCGGGATCGAGAGCAGGGTCTCCCCGGAAGATCTCAAAGTCCTGGTGGGTTCATAGGCAGAGATGCGGTCAGATAGGTAGCTTGGGCCGGAACCGTTTAGGGCTTTAAAGGCCAACGCCAGCACTTTGAATTGAGCCCGGTAGCAGATCGGTAGCCAGTGGAGTTGGCGCAACAGGGGGGTTGTATGCTCCCTGCGCTCCGCTCCTGTTAAAATCATGGCTGCCGAGCGTTGGACTAGTTGGAGCTTCCGAGCTGTCTTCAAAGGCAACCCCACATAGAGAGCGTTGCAGTAGTCTAAACGGGATGTAACCAGAGCGTGGACTACCGTGGCCAAGTCAGACTTCCCAAGGTACGGGCGCAGCTGGCGCACAAGCCGAAGCTGTGCAAATGCTCCCCTGGTCACCCCTGAAACCTGGGGATCCAGGCTCAAGGATGAGTCCAGGGTCACACCCAAGCTGCGAACCTGCGCCTTCAAGGGGAGTGCGACCCCATCCAACACAGGCTGTAACCCTATGCCCTGTTCGGCCTTGCGACTGACCAGGAGTACCTCTGTCTTGTCTGGATTCAATTTCAATTTGTTCGCCCTCATCCAGACCGTCACAGCGGCCAAGCACCGGTTCAGGACCTGGACAGCCTCCTTAGTAGCAGGTGGGAAGGAGTGACAGAGTTGGACATCATCCGCGTACAGATGACACCGTACCCCGAAACTCCGGATGATCTCCCCCAGCGGCTTCATGTAGATGTTAAACAACATGGGAGACAATATTGAGCCCTGAGGAACCCCACAAGACAATGGTTGTGGGGTTGAACAGGTGTCCCCCAACAACACCTTCTGAGATCGACCCTCCAGGAATGACCGGAGCCACTGCAAAACAGTACCTCCAAGACCCATCCCCGAGGCGTCCCAGAAGGATACCGTGGTCGACGGTATCGAAGGCCGCTGAGAGGTCCAGCAGCACCAACAGGGACACACTCCCCCTGTCGAGCTCCCGGCGCAGATCATCCACTAAGGCGACCAAGGCTGTCTCGGTACCATGTCCCGGCCTAAAGCCAGACTGTGCCGGGTCTAGATAATCCGTGTCTACCAAGAATACCTGGAGTTGTGAGGCCACCACACGTTCCAAGACTTTGCCCAAGAAGGGGAGATTGGAAACTGGCCGATAGTTGTCGAATTTAGTGGGGTCCAGTGATGGTTTCTTCAACAGCGGTTTTATTATAGCTTGTTTTAAGCTCGCTGGAATCTTGCCTTCCCGAAGGGAAGCATTAACCACCACCTTAACCCACTCAGCCAATCCCCCTCTGGCCTCCTTTAGAAGCCAGGATGGGCAGGGGTCCAGGATGCATGTGGTTGGCCTCATTCCTCCAAGCATCTTGTCCACATCCTCGGGTTTCACCAATTGAAATGAATCCATCAAAACTGGACAAGCAGGTGCTCGTGTTACATCCTCAGAGACTGCCATTAACATGGTATCCAGACCAGAATGGATCAAAGCGACTTTGTCTGCAAAGAACTGAGCAAAAGCTTCACAGCGAGAAGTCGAATCGTTATTATTGGCTGGGGAGCAGAAGCAGAGGCAAGTTCAGAAACAGATCTCTCTTTCTCAAGATGCTTCCTTTGGAGAATTGTAAACTCTCCAGGATTATATAACATTTATTTATTTATTTATTATTATTATTATTATTATTATTATTTATTGGCTGGGAGCAGAAGGTCCTTTTGCCTTCCCTGCTAAAGGGTACAAATCCCAAGAAGCCACCGTTCAAGCAGTGTCAGGCGGCATCCATTCTTGGAAACCTAGAAATTGTAGTTTTACAAGAGACCCAAGAGTGAAAATCAAAACTCCCAGGACTCCTTCACATTTGCTATTGTTCACCGTATACTCATATTAAATGCTTTTCATACTGCGTTCGTGGTTTGTGCTGTGATTCAGGTGAAATCGGGACTTTATATGTATTTATTTTTTAATATTTAAGTGATCAATAAAGTAATCTTATCTTACTTTTTTTAAAAAACCGAAAGGCCCGGATCAAAAAGATCATGCAGACGGATGAGGAGATCGGCAAAGTGGCAGCGGCCGTCCCTGTGATCATATGTATCCTTTCCAAAGGTTTATTCGTGTTAGGTTGAGGGGGAAGTGACATCATCACAAGGCAGCACAGCCCAGGGAGCTCAGACTCTATTAACAGTGAATCTCAGCCGGAGTTCAGCAGCCGGTCAGGAGCACCCGCCAGTTATGTCACTGAGGAGATATGGAAAAAAGCTGATGCTTGTAAACAGATGGTTGTAAACATGGCCCATGCACATGTTGTGAATCCCAAATACATCAAATAATATCATCTCAAACCTCTGCCTTGACATCACCTTTATTTATTTATTTATTATTATTTATTTACGACATTTCTATGCCACCCTTCTCACCCCGAAGGGGACTCAGAGCAGCTTACAAGATATATATACATACAATATATTATATTATTAGCATAGTACAATATTGTACTATACAATTATATTGTAATATAATTAGTAATATTGCATGTAATATAAAATATATAATTATATTATCATTATTAGTATTATATTGCACTAGCTGTCCCCTGCCATGCATTGCTGTGGCTCACATGGGGGTTCTGTGTGGGAGGTTTGGCCCAATTCTATTGTTGGTGAGGTTCAGAATGCTCTGTAATTGTGGGTGAACTATAAATCCCAGGAACTACAACTCCCAAATGTCAAGATTCTATTTTCCCCAAACCCCACCAGTGTTCACATTTGGGCATATTGATTATTCATGTAGAGTTTGGTCCAGATCCATCATTGTTTGAGTCCACGGTGATCTCTGGATGTAGGTGAACTACAACTCCAAAAACACCAAACCCTTCCAGTATTTTCTGTTGGTCATGGGAGAACTGTGTGCCAAGTTTGGTTCAATTCCATCGTTGAACCAAACGATGCTCTTTCATTGTAGGTGAACTATAAATCCCAGCAACTACAACTCCCAAATGACAAAATCAATTTTTTTGAGTGAAGGACATAGATTGGGTTGTTAGGTGTCTTGTGTCCAAATTTGGTGCCAATTCGTCCAGTGGTTTTTGAGTTCTGTTAATCCCACAAACGAACATTACATTTTTATTTATATCGATTACATTATATCAGTATTATATATTACTATATTGTACTATACCATTATATTGTAATATTATTAGTAATATTACATGTTATATAAATATATATAATTATAATATATTATTATTAGTATTGTATTACATTATAATATTATAAATATTATATGTATATACATTATATTATATTGTATTACTAGCTGCCCCTTGCCATGCATTGCTGTGGCCCAGTCTGGTCATCTGGAAAATAAAGTAATGCTCTTTGATTGTAGGTGAACTACAATCTAGGGTTTTCTGTTGGTCATGGAAGTCCTGTGTGCCATGTTTGGTTCAATTCCATCATTGGTGGAGTTCAGAATGCTCTTTGATTATAGGTGAACTACAAATCCCGGTAACTACAACTCCCCAATGTCAAGGTCTATTTCCCGCAAAATTCCGTCTGTGTCCATATTTGGGCATATGGAATATTCATGCCAAGTTTGGTCCAGATCCATCATTGTTTGAGTCCACAGTACTCTCTGGATGTAGGTGTACTATAACTCGCAGTCTCAAGGTCAACGCCCATGAAACCCTTCTAGTGTTTTCTGTTGGTCATGGGAGTCCTGTATGCCATGTTTGGTTCAATTCTATCATTGGTGGAGTTCAGAATGCTCTTTGATTGTAGGTGAACTATAAATCACAGAAACTCCAACTCCCAAATGACAAAATTATTTTTTTGAGTGATGGTCACTCCTTGGGTTGTCTTGTGGCCAAATTTGGTGTCAACTCGTACAGTGGTTTTTGAGTTACGTTAATCCCACAAACGAACATTACATTTTTATTTATATAGATATTATATTATATTATATTATCAGCATATGGCCCCTTAACCCTTTCCCACCCAAAGCCCGAGCGCTGGAGCTCTTTCTGGAATCCTTACTGAAAAATGCCTGTCATGTGACGCAGTCCAGGAACGCCAAGACCATGACAACATCACACCTGTGAGTATCACTCTACTTGTCTACACCTTTCGTTTGGCACTCTAGGAGACACACATATGCACAGTAGCTTGGGTACCCAACGTTGCCCGGGTTATTTGCATAAAATGCATAAGATTGTGGGTGAACTACAACTCCCATATTGCCAGGTTAACCTTGGAAAACTCCACCAGTACTTAAAAGTTTGTGGTGTTGGGCAAGTTTGCTCTAGATTCATCATGGGTGGGGTCCAGTGTGCTCTCTGGCAGTAGGGTGAACTACAACTCCCACTATGGCAAGTCAGTCCCTTCAATCCCTCCAGTAAGTTGAGTTTAGTCATGGGGGTTCTGTGTGCCAAGTTTGGTCCAAGTCCATCATGGATGGAGGTCACAGTTTCCCTAGTTGTGGGTGAACTACAACTCCCACTATAGCGAGTCAGTCCCCTCAATCACTCCAGTAGGTTGAGTTAGTCATGGGTGTTCTGTGTGCCAAGTTTGGTCCAGGTCCGTCACGGATGGAGGTCACAGTTTCCCTAGTTGTGGGTGAACTACAACTCCCACTATAGCAAGTCAGTCCAATCCAATCCCTCCAGTATGTTGAGTTAGTCATGGGGGTTCTGTGTTCCAAGTTCGGTCCAGGTCCGTCATGGATGGAGGTCACAGTTTCCCTAGTTTTGGATGAACTACAACTCCCACTATAGCGAGTCAGTCCCCTCCACTACATGGGGGTTCTGTGTGCAAAGTTCGGTCCAGGTCCATCATGGATGGAGGTCACAGTTTCCCTAGTTGTGGGTGAACTACAACTCCCACTATGGCGAGTCAGTCCCCTCCAATCCCTCCAGTAGGTTGATTTAGTCATGGGGGTTCTGTGTTCCAAGTTTGGTCCAAGTCCATCAAGGATGGAGGTCACAGTTTCCCTGGTTGTGGGTAAACTACAACTCCCACTATAGCGAGTCAGTCCGCTCCAGTAGGTTGAGTTAGTCATGGGGGTTCTGTGTGCCAAGTTCGGTCCAGATCCGTCATGGATGGAGGTTGCAGTTTCCCTAGTTGTGGGTGAACTACAACTCCCACTATAGTGAGTCAGTTCGCTCCAGTAGGTTGAGTTAGTCATGGGGGTTCTGCGTGCCAAGTTCGGTCCAGATCCATCATGGATGGAGGTCACAGTTTCCCTAGTTGTGGGTGAACTACAACTCCCACTATGGCAAGTCAGTCCCTTCAATCCCTCCAGTAAGTTGAGTTTAGTCATGGGGGTTCTGTGTGCCAAGTTTGGTCCAAGTCCATCATGGATGGAGGTCACAGTTTCCCTAGTTGTGGGTGAACTACAACTCCCACTATAGCGAGTCAGTCCCCTCAATCACTCCAGTAGGTTGAGTTAGTCATGGGTGTTCTGTGTGCCAAGTTTGGTCCAGGTCCGTCACGGATGGAGGTCACAGTTTCCCTAGTTGTGGGTGAACTACAACTCCCACTATAGCAAGTCAGTCCAATCCAATCCCTCCAGTATGTTGAGTTAGTCATGGGGGTTCTGTGTTCCAAGTTCGGTCCAGGTCCGTCATGGATGGAGGTCACAGTTTCCCTAGTTTTGGATGAACTACAACTCCCACTATAGCGAGTCAGTCCCCTCCACTACATGGGGGTTCTGTGTGCAAAGTTCGGTCCAGGTCCATCATGGATGGAGGTCACAGTTTCCCTAGTTGTGGGTGAACTACAACTCCCACTATGGCGAGTCAGTCCCCTCCAATCCCTCCAGTAGGTTGATTTAGTCATGGGGGTTCTGTGTTCCAAGTTTGGTCCAAGTCCATCAAGGATGGAGGTCACAGTTTCCCTGGTTGTGGCAATCAGTACTTAAAGGTTTGTTATGTCAGGCAAGTTTCTCAGACCCATGCTCTGGTCTTGCGCAGGAAGCAATGCATAGAGCTGGAGCAGCAGTTTGACTTTCTGAAGGACCTGGTTGCCTCCGTCCCGGACATGCAAGGAGACACCGAGGACAACCACATGGAGGGAGAGAAAGTGTCCAGGAGGTAAGGAAGAGAGACATAGCACGATTCCTGGGCACCTGCATGACACGTAACAAGGTGGTCATTTCAATCTCTCGTATTTCCAGAGAAAGACAAAGGCAAAAGGCCACTATGCACAAAAAATAATGCAGTTATATAATCATGAGAATGTACAATAGATCTATGCTGTAGTACTACAACATTCAATGTACTAACAGCTTGTACAAAGTATAATCCCTGCCATACGCCTGTGAGACGTGGACTGTCTACAGACGTCAACATTGACACTGAAATACAACATTGCCTGAGCTCTGCGCGTGCAGCATTTTTCCGAATGAAGCAAAGAGTGTTTGAGGACCAGGACATCCGTAGGGATACCAAGGTGCTATTGTCCTCCCAATCCTGCTATACGCCTGCGAAACGTGGACTGTCTACAGACATCAACATTGACACTGAAATACAACACCACCTGAGCTCTGCAAATGCAGCATTTTTCCGAATGAAGCAGAGAGTGTTTGAGGACCAGGACATCCATAGGGAGACCAAGGTGTTTGTTTATAAAGCTATTGTCCTCTCAACCCTGGAATACGCCTGCGAGACGTGGACTGTTTCCAGACGTCAACATTGAGACTGAAACACAACACCGCCTGAGCTCTGCAAGTGCAGCATTTTCCAGAATGAAGCAGAGTGTTTGAGGACCGGGACATCCGTAGGGATACCAAGGTGCTTGTTTATAAAGCTATTGTCCTCCCAACCCTGCCATACACCTGCGAAACGTGGACTGCCTACAGACGTCAACATTGACACTGAAATACAACACCTGAGCTTTGCGAGTGCAGCATTTTTCCGAATGAAGCAGAGAGTGTTTGAGGACTGGGACATCCGTAGGGATACCAAGGTGCTTGTTTACAAAGCTATTGTCCTCCCAACCCTGCTATATGCCTGCGAAGCCACCTCTCCACAAAAGTTAATATTGACACTGAAATACAACACTGCCTGAGCTCTGCGAGTGCAGCATTTTTCCAAATGAAGCAGAGAGTGTTTGAGGACTGGGACATCCGTAGGGAGACCAAGGTGCTTGTTTATAAAGCTATTGTCCTCCCAACCCTGCTATACGCCTGCGAAACGTGGACTGTCTACAGACGTCAACTCCTGGAACGATTCCATCAGCGCTGCCTCCGGAAAATCCTGCAAATCTCTTGGGAAGACAAGTGGACAAATGTCAGCTTAGACCACCAGCATTGAAGCAATGGTCCTCCGCCATCAACTGCGCTGGACCATTACATTATATTATAAATATTATATGTATATACAATATATTACATTACATTAAATTATATTATTAACATAGCACAGGCTGATGACATATGCAGGAGACAAGGTGGAACTGTCCCCTGGCCCCTTCTCTCTTCACTCAGGGCCAGAACAGCAGTTTGTGCTGGGGGAGGGGTCACCAACTGATGACATATGCAGGAGACAAGGTGGACCTGTCCCCTAGCCCCCTCTCTCTCCACTCTGGCCCAGAGCAGCAGTTGGTGCTGGGGGAGGGGTCCCCAACTGATGACATATGCAAGAGACAAGATGGAACTGTCCCCTGGCCCCCTCTCTTCACTCAGGGCCAGAACAGCAGTTTGTGCTGGGGGAGGGGTCACCAACTGATGACATATGCAGGAGACAAGGTGGACCTGTCCCCTAGCCCCCTCTCTCTCCACTCTGGCCCAGAGCAGCAGTTGGTGCTGGGGGAGGGGTCCCCAACTGATGACATATGCAAGAGACAAGATGGAACTGTCCCCTGGCCCCTTCTCTCTTCACTCTGGGCCAGAATTATAAGTTGCTTACCTGTAACTGTAGTTTCCTGAGTAGTCACCTGTGAATTCATACATTTGGTATCCCTGCGCTTGCGCAATACAACTTACGGAACCTTCTAGAAAGAAAAAGAAACTTTCAGCCCTCAGCTAGGCCCCCCCCCCCCCCGAGTATATATAGCCCCTGGGCGGGACTAGCCGTCAGTTCTCTAAGCCGCAAAAACAGCTAGACGGCGTGGCATGATACTCGAGGGGAGGAAGGGCGGGTATGTACGAATTCACAGGTGACTACTCAGGAAACTACAGTTACAGGTAAGCAACTTATAATTTCCTGTCGTAGTCACTGTGAATCGTACATTTGGTAGATTAGCGAGCATCCCTCTTGGCAGGCGGGATCATGCCACCGCCGAAGATAGTACCGCTCTACCAAATTCCATATCCCTTTGGGAAACAGCGTCCACCTTATAATGTGACACGAAAGTCAGAGGGGACGACCAAACAGCAGCCCGACAAATGGCATCTAAGGACACTCCCCGTAAAAAGGCTGTCGACGTTGCCACAGCCCTAGTGGAATGACCCCGTATCTGCAATGGCAGATCTTTACCAACCAGACGGTAACACAAACTAATGACAGAAACTATCCACGAGGAAAATCTCTGGGAAGACAACGGAAGACCAATAGCGTCTTTACGATATTTTATGAATAACCTAGGGGTTTTCCGGAGCAGAGCCGTCCTATCCACATAAAAAGCGATAGCCCTGCGAACATCCAGCAAATGCAGAGCCCGCTCTGTCGGCGTAACTGGGTTTTGAAAGAACCCCGGAAGCACCAGTTCCTGAGATATGTGAAAACGAGTAGCCACCTTAGGGAGAAAACCCACATCTGTACGCAAGACCACTCTATCACTATGAAACTTAAGATAGGGTGGGTCTACTCGTAGCGCACATAGTTCGCTGGAGCGCCTAGCAGATGTAATTGCCACCAGAAAGGCTGTCTTCCATGACAAAAAGGATAGGTCAATCCTAGCCAAGGGTTCAAAGGGAGGTTTTGATAAACAGTTTAACACCAATTCCAAGCTCCAAGATGGAGCGATTGGGGCCACCGAAGGCCTAATATTAGCGAATCCTCGCAGAAAGATCCTAACTAGTGGATCCGTAAAACATGACGGCAAACCAGACTTCCTTCTAAACCAGGAAATCGCCGCCAGGTAACATTTTAATGAAGAATGAGATAGTCCCGAATCCGCCAGGGACACCAAAAAATCCAAAACGACGGAAGTCTGAGCAGTCATAGGATCAAGTCCTTTTGAACGGACAAACGAGTCAAATCTCGCCCATTTATAGACATAAGAACGTTTCGTCGAAGGTCTATGTGCAGCATCAATGATCGCCAGCACCGGAGAAGACAATGTTCCAAATGAAGCTAGAGAAGAGGAAGAATCCTCCACGCTGTGAGCTTCAGTTTGCCCACCTCCGGATACAAGACCTGGTCGTTCTGCGACGTTAGAAGATCGAACCTGTCCGGGAATCGGAAGAATACYCCCCTCGCCATCTGGTGAAGTGGAGAGAACCAAGGTTGGCGAGGCCACCACGGGGTTATTAAAATGCACCGCGCGTTTTCTCTTTGGATCTTGGCCACCACCCTCAGGATGAGGGGAAACGGGGGAAACGCGTACATCGGTCGAGTCGACCAGTCCAGAAGGAAGGCGTCCCCCAGACACCCTATCTCTATGGAGGCCTGAGTCCGAGCGCAGAACAGGTCGCATTTCGAATTGATCTGAGTCGCAAATAAGTCCACTTCTGGAGTGCCCCATGCCAGGAAGAGTCTCCGGGTCTCTCCGCGGTGAAGGGACCACTCGTGGTGTGTTAGAGGACCCCGACTGAGTGAGTCCGCTAGCTGGTTCTGCTYCCCCGGGAGATGTGTTACTAAGAGGTGTATTCCCCGATCCAAGCACCAATTCCAAATGCGGATCGTTAGAGACAGCAAGGGGAGGGAATGGGTGCCCCCCTGTTTGTTGAGATAGTACATCACCGTGGTGTTGTCGGTGAGGATTTGTACTATCTGGCCCCCTACGACTCTTTCGAAAGAGAGTAGCGCCCTTTCCACCGCGAGGAGTTCTAACATGTTTATGTGAAGGGCGTTTTCCTCTCCTTCCCATACGCCTTGAGCGATGAGACCCTCGGAATGGGCACCCCAACCCCTGAGGGACGAGTCCGTAGTAATGACCCGCGTGGGGGTGGGAGGATGAAAAGGAAGCCCCGCACACACCCACAGCGCATCCTGCCAGCAATAAAGGGACTGGCGAACAGCCGCCGGCACCGTGAGTCTCATGGAAGGGTTGTCCACCAGTGGGTTGAACGTTGAGACAAACCATGACTGGAGGGGCCGCATGCGTAATCTGGCATATGGGGTGACAGACGTGGTGGAGGCCATGTGCCCCAACAGGATCTGGATTTGTTTGGCTGACACCGACGGGGAACGCATGACCTGTAACACCAGCTCCCTCAGGTTGGCGAAGCGGTCTGGTGGAAGGAAGGCCCTCTGAGAGACCGAGTCCAGCGTGGCACCGATGAAGCTGATCCGCTGGGACGGGCACAGAGATGACTTGTCGAGGTTGACCACCAGGCCGAGAGACTGGAGAAGGGATAGAACACAAGAGATTTGGGATTGGAGTTGGTCTCTTGACCTCGACACAATCAGCCAGTCATCAATGTAGGGGTATACCGTAATGCCCCTTGTGCGCAGGTATGCGGCCACCACCGACATACACTTTGTGAACACCCGGGGGGCTGTGGATAACCCAAAGGGGAGGACATTGAAACAATAAGCCCTATCCCCCACCATAAAGGCGAGGAACCTTCGGTGGTGATGCGCAATTGATATGTGGAAGTACGCGTCTTTTAAGTCGACGGTAGCAAACCACACCCCTTTGGACAATAAAGGTAAAATGGAGGCAAGAGTGACCATTCTAAACTTTTTTGGTCGAACATGTTTATTGAGGTGCCTCAGGTCAAGGATGGGACGCAGCCCACCTCCACGTTTGGAAACCAGGAAATAGCGGGAGAAAAAGCAGTATTTGAAAACAGAAGGGTCCAAAGGGGAAACAGCTCCTTTATCCAATAACATTTGTACCTCTTGTAACAGGGGGCCTGATGGTAATGTGCATCGGACAAGGCCCACTCTGGGTGGATCAGAAAACTCAATTTCATAGCCATGAGAAACAATGGAAAGTACCCAACCATCCGTGGTGATGCTAGACCACGACTGGCGGAACGGGGACAACCTATCACCAAACATTAGAGAAACAGTGGGTAGAGGAGTCTGCACAACGGGGGCGAAATCATTTGCAACAGGCAAGTTTGGGTTACAGTTCCCCTGAGTAGCTACAGGAGTCTCTGCATCAAAGACGCTTCTTGGGTCCCTGTTGAGCTTTAGACTTATTTCCAAACCCCTGGTTACGAGGTCTAGGGAAATAGGGAGTCCGGCGACCGCCCTGAAACCTAGAAGAATTATTGTTGCTCCTGCCCCTAAAGGAATTACCATAAGCATTTCCATAGCCCCTACGATACCCAGAAGAGGGGAGGCTCCACCTCTGGCGTTGCTGGGGGTAGGGCTGCCAAGCATATCCGAATTTCCCTGCAGCTTGTCTCACATCTTGTTTTTGTTTGAGCCTGTCATCCGTCTGCGGATTAAAAAGGCCCTCCTCGTGGAAGGGAAGGTCCTCTGCAAGGGCCTTCCCTTCCTCAGACAAGTTAGATGCACGCAGCCACGCGTGCCTTCTCAGTGATGTTGCAGTGGAGTACAGATTACCTGCAGCCTCAGCCATATGCTTGGCCGCGTCCTTTTGCATCTTTGACAGTGTTAGTGCCTCCCCTTGTATGGCTCTAGGAAAGCGCTGCTGGTCAGCCGGTAAGAGCTCGATATACTCCAACATCTTACCCCACAGGAACGTTTGATAGCCACTAGCATAGGTGGCATAGTGTGCCATTCGGGTAAACAACCCAGCAGAGAGGTGTGCCTTTCTTCCTAGAGAATCAATTTTCTTACCCTCCCTGTCTGGGGGGGCAGTGAGTGAATTTTTAGGTCTCTTGGTCTTTGCCACTTCGGCGACCACCGTATTCGGCCTGGGGGGGGTAGAGACCCATTTGGCCGAGGACACGTCAATCCTATACAGTAAGTCTAGACGTCGAGGAATAGCTGGGACTAGAGAGGGGGACATGTCGGAGACCCTTGCTAATTTTAGGAGGTAAGGGAGCACAGGTAGGGGAGATGCAGGGGTTATGACCTGCTCCTCCGAGGGAAACATGGGGTCCTCTACGTGTTCGGGAGGTTTGGGGGCGGGGATGTTTAAGGCCTTGATCATTCTATCGATCAGTGCCGCAAACTTATTGACATCCGCGGGGTGAATAAAGGAAACATTCTCCCCCTCCCCTTGGTTCGCAATGTCATTTGGCTCCTGATCAGAGTCAGAGCCCTCCAAATCGACTGCCCTTTGGTCAGGGCCCTCGGGCAGCAAGGTCGGTCTCATAGGAGTAGAATCACCTTGCAGGTTGCCTTGAGAGGTGGCCAGGGTGGTGGTGGCATTGCTGGGCAAATCGCCAGGAGTACAGGCAGGTAAGGCCAACGTAGTGCGGGACGACGTTGCCCCGTAGGATGCAGCAGGTAAGTCAATGTCAGTAGAGTTGAGTGCGGGGGGAGCTCCACATGGGAGGGCCCTCCCAGTGTCATGCTGAAAAGAGGCCGAAGGCAACCCATTAGGCACTGGAGGACAAGCGGCCGATGGTGGTGGCGCCCTCGATGTCGTCGCTACCGGGAGCGTCGGGACGGGCAAAGCAGGAGGAGGGGCCTGCACAAACAACATCTGGCCCGACGGGCCCATTTGCCAAAAACCCGGGCAAGGAGGTGGGGCCATGGAGGAGCGGTGCCAGCGTGAGCGTCTGGAGGTTCGGGACCTTCTGCTCCGCCTGGAGTAAGCTGATGAGGAGGAGGAGGACGAAGTCGACGAAGAGGAGGAGGAGGAGGAACGGCGGGATCGCCTCGAAGCCGATCGGCGGCGGCGGCGGCGCGACCTGGTGCTCCTCCTGGATGGGGACCTTGATCTCCTGGGCCTTGCGCTGTGGCGTCGCAAAGAGGGTTGGACCGGTATCGCCGATGCCGGCACATCAGAAGCCTCTTCCACTATGGGGGCCTGTCCCGCTGGGGCGCCCTCGGTCATTGGTTGGGCGCAACCGGAAGCCCCTTCAGCTGCCTCCCTCGAGCCCGAGGGAGGCGGGGTTGTTAGAGCTCCATCCTGGAGCAGGGCCGGTAGCGGGGAGAGAGGCAAGGGCACAGCAGCGGCCGCCGCCGACATCTGCGGCATCTCGGATTCTCGGGCCCGGCTCAGCGGCGGAGGCGAGAGCATCGGCATCGCTGCATTAGGAGGGGTCAGAGAGGCCGGTGTGACAGCGGGCGCATGCGCAGGCAGCGGGGTCGACGTCGTGAACGTCGCCCGAGATGTTCCGGCTGCCTGCAGAGGGCGCACCGCTTCGCTTGGAGTCTCCGAAGCCGACAGAGGAGCCGTGGCGCGATGGGCCTCAAACGGTCTTCCCGCTCTTTCCTCCAAGGTTTTAGCCTGTGCGGGTGCCTGGCCGCCATTTTTAGGCCCATTAGATTTAGGCCTCTTGGCTTTCTTCTTGGCCGGAGCGGAGGAGGAGGATAAGAAAGGTAGGTCTGGCCGCTCCGCGGATTGAGCTGGGGCGGAGGGCGGCATGAGGGCCCTTTCGTAGAGTGCGGCCCGAAGCCTGGACACTCTATTCTTCCTCGTTTGGGGTGTAAAGGAGGCACAAATGGTACAGGATTGGGTCAGATGGGCCTCCCCCAGGCAGGTGAGGCACAGTGTGTGCCCATCTGTGTCCGGCAGGATATTCGGGCACTTGGTACACTTCTTAAAGGAAGTAGTAGCCATAGCGGGATTAAGAGATTTGTCGATTCAAATCCGGGTCAAGTACCTTAAAATCAGTCCGATCCAACGTCAAGCAAGAGGGCTAAGCAGTAGAATTGTCAAAAAGAGAAGTCCAGAGTCCAAAATTCAAAGTCAGATAGAGAATCGCAAAGTCATAGAAGGTTCTCAAGCTGCCACAAGCGGATTAAGAGAACTGACGGCTAGTCCCGCCCAGGGGCTATATATACTCGGGGGGGGGGGCGGGCCTAGCTGAGGGCTGAAAGTTTCTTTTTCTTTCTAGAAGGTTCCGTAAGTTGTATTGCGCAAGCGCAGGGATACCAAATGTACGATTCACAGTGACTACGACAGGAAACGGCAGTTTGTGCTGGGGGAGGGGTCCCCAACTGATGACACATCCAGGAGACAAGGTGGAACTGTCCCCTTGCCCCCTCTCTCTTCACTCTGGCCCCGAGCAGTGGTTGGTGCTGGGGGGAGGGTCCCCAACTGATGACATATGCAGGAGACAAGATGGAACTGTCCCCTGGCCCCTCTCTCTTCACTCTGAGTTGGTGCTGGGGGAGGGGTCCCCAAGTGATGACATATGCAGGAGACAAGATGGAACTGTCCCCTGGCCCCCTCTCTCTTCACTCTGGCCCAGAGTGGCAGTTGTGTGCTGGGGGGAGGGGTCCCCAACTGATGACATATGCAGGAGACAAGGTGGAACTGTCCCCTGGCCCTTTCTCTCTTCACTTTGGGCCAGAACGGCAGTTAGTGCTGGGAGAGGGGTCCCCAACTGATGACATATGCAGGAGACAAGGTGGAACTGTCCCCCGAACCCCTCTCTCTTCACTCTGGCCCAGAGCGGCAGTTGGTGCCAGTGGAGGGGTCCACAACTGATGACATATGCAGGAGACAAGATGGAACTGCCCCCTGGCCCCCTCTGTCTTCACTCTGGCCCAGAAGTTTTGGTGCAGGGGAGAGGGGTCCCCAACTGATGACATATGCAGGAGACAAGATGGAACTGCCCCCTGGCCCCCTCTGTCTTCACTCTGGCCCAGAAGTTTGATTTGTCTACTGGCCTGCCCGACGTACATCAGGAAGCAGGGACAGATAATAACATAAATGACACCCTTGGTGGTGCAAGTCGCAAAATGTTGCAGTTGATAAATACTCTTTAGTTTGGGCATTTTGAAAAACCTTAGTTTGAATATATTGCGGGCATATAGTGCAATGGTGACACAGAAAATAAAAGGAACTTGTGCATTTTGCTGTAGGAATTTTTTATCCCATAAAAGAATTTTTTGGCTTAGAGCTTTACATTGTGTGTCTCTGTTAAGCATACTTTGTGCAAGCTGTTCATACATTGAATGTTGTAGTACTACAGCATAGATCTGATGTACATTCTCATGATTATATAACTGCATTATTTTTTGTGTATAGTGGCCTTTTGCCTTTGTACTTTGGGGAATCTTTTCTCTCTATTGTTTTTAGGACTGAGAAAGACCCCAGGTTGAAAGCCATTTGTGTTTCTCATTTCTGGTTCAGGGGCCGGAAACCAGGCAGCGGACGGAAGAATGGCGGCACAGCGGGCAAAGGAAGGGATGCCAAGCAGTCTGGCACTGATTCGGAGCAAGAGGTGGGTTGGCAGTAAAGGATGGTGCGACGACCTTTCGCCACTTCAGTCCTTTTTCAGGTGTCTTTTTACGTGTTACAATGTGTGGGGGAAAAATATTTTCTTTTAAATCTTTTTACTGCCTTGTATTGATGTATTTTCCCCCTTTTAAATTGGCTGGGGCTTTCTTGTGAGCTTTTTCCTTGAGGCTTTTATATGACAGGCTTGAGACACTCTTGTAGTAGATGAAGTAACAAAGTTTATTTATAGCTTCTGGCTCCAACGCTTATGGTTACATTGATGTGTTCTGTTACAGTCTTGAGTCTTACATTCAATATCATTCACTTAGTTAACTTTTCTTATCAAACATCAACTGTTTCACATCAACAAATATGTTACTTTTTCATACATTCTTGACATAATTATATTCTGCCTTAAACCACACTGGCACTTCCTTATTTTCCTTAAAACTTAAGCTCCATTTTCTTAACTGCTTTTCTCTCACAGAAATTCCTAACTGTCCTAAACAAACAGGAATCCCTAACTGAAACTTTTTGACTCTCTAACTGCCTATTTTTGAACTTCGCCCCTTTGGAATGTTCAGCTCTCTTTCCTCCAAATGCCATTCTGGCTCAGTGGCCCTTTCAAATCCTGGCCTACACTCATCTGCATACGACCAATCGGCTGTATGTATGCAAACTAATCTTGCCTCTACTGTTGCTACCCTATTTCCACCACTTCTGCCACATTGCAACATAGAGCTATACATCAAAAAGTTTTACATAGATCAATAAATTCGCTACAGATGGGTTAAGGACAATACTATGGGGACATAAGGCTTGGTAGTGGGGAGAGTCCAGAAAGATATACCCCCGAATTCTCCCATATTGGTCAACAGTTTCGAGGCATTTCCTTCTTCGTCAGAAACCACATTTGTGTCAAGCTAATGGGCCCTAATGATACTTCCCTACAGACTTAGCTGTATGGGAAAGGTCAGATCGACAACCCATATATACTTGAGTATAAACCAAGTTTTTAACCCCCTTTTTAGGCTGAAAAAGCCCCCCTCGGCTTATATTCGGGTCGGCTTATACTCGAGTATATTCGGTAAATCTAATGTTCAGGTTGCCCTCCTCAAAGGGCAATGGGCAGGATGGGTTTGTCCCAACAGTCTCTGAATTTTACTAACCGCATCTCAATAAATAGGATGATTCAGAAGACAGCGAGAGCAACGGAGAAGAGGAAATGTCCCAGCCGACCCCCGCCATGCGACCCACTACACACCTCTCCACGTAACGTTTCCTATATGTTTTAAGCTGGTTGTTATTATTATTGTTGGGTTGCTGTGAGTTTTCTGGGCTGTGGAGCCATGTTCCAGAAGCATTCTCTCCTGACATTTCAACCACATCCATGGCAAATATCCTCAGAGACAGCAAAAATACGATATATTTTTAAATTAATATTTTTTGGAAACAGCAAAAATACCACGATATACTTTTAAATTAATATTTTTTGGAAACAGCGAAAATACCACGATGTATTTTTAAATTAATATATTTTTAAACCGCAAAACAGCAAAAATACCGCAATATATATTTAAATTAATATTTTTTAAAAAACAGTGAAAATACCGCGATATATAAATACTGTGATATACTTTAAAAATAATATTTTTTGAAAACCGCAAAACAGCAAAAAATATGATGTATTTTAAATTAATAATTTTTTGAAAACAGCAAAAATACCATGATATATTTTTAAATTAATTTTTTTTTTGAAACAGCAAAAATACCGCGATATACTTTTAAATTAATATTGTTTTGAAAACAGCGAAAATACCGCAATGTATTTTTAAATTAATATATTTTTAAAACCGCAAAACAGCAAAAATACTGCAATATATTTTAAAATTAATCTTTTTTGAAAACCCCGAAACAGCGAAAATACCGCGATATACTTTAAAAATAATATTTTTTGAAAAGCGCAAAACAGCAAAAATACGATATATTTTAAATTAATAATTTTTTTGAAAACAGCAAAAATACCACGATATATTTTTAAATTAATATTTTTTGAAAATCGCAAAACAGCGAAAATGCCGCAATATATTTAAAAATTAATATTGTTTTGAAAACAGTGAAAATACCATGATATATTTTTAAATTAATTTTTTTGAAAACCGTGAAACACCGAAAATACGATATATTTTTTAATTAATATTTTTTGAAAACCGTGAAACAGCAAAAATACCGCAATAAACTTTTAAATTCATATTTTTTGAAAACAGCGAAAATACCGCGATATATTTTTAAATTAATAATTTTTGGAAACAGTGAAAATACAGAGATATATTTTTAAATTAATATTTTTTGGAAACAGCGAAAATAATGCAATATATTTTTTAATTAATATTTTTTGAAACAGCAAAAATACTGCGATATATTTTTAAATTAATATGTTTTTGAAACAGCGAAAATACCGCGATATACTTTTAAATTAATATTTTTTGGAAACAGCTAAAAAAACGCGGTATGTTTTTAAATTAATATTTTTGAACACCGCGAAACAGACAAAATACCACGATATATTTTTTAATTAATATTTTTTGAAAACCGCAAACTAGTGAGCGAACACTGTATGTTGAATAGGGAACGCTACATTGCTGGACCGGAACGATGAAGCGGCAGTTGTAGGGCTTACAAAACGTGCTCGTTTGCCATGACTTCCTTCCGATCCCTGTCTCGTCTTGTCTTCTTTCCTCCAGCACCCCAGTGCCGTATCTCCCCTTCTCGGCCCCGCCGGTTCCCACAATCCCCCTCGCCGTCCCGGCTCCGACGGCGTCCCTCTCGGCGGCCCCTCCGCCCGCTCCGCTTGCGCCGGTCAAGGAGGACGACGAAGAGGAAGACTACGATTCCTAACCCTGAGTCCGTTTCAGCTGCTGCCACTTTTGGGGGACGGGGCGGGAGAGGGTCGGGGGGGGGGGTCGTACCACCGGGTTTGTTTTGGACTGGGCCGTTCTTAAATTTATTAAAAAACACGAAACTCTGAGCGTGGGATTCTTTCTCCCTTGTTCCCTTTTTCCTCCGTTCCCAATGAAGAAATTGGATGGCATCCTTGTTTTGGTCCCCTGCCTTTTTTTTCCTTCGAAAGAGAGGTTGTAAAGCAAATTGGGTTGTTTTTTTTAAAATTTGTCATTAAAAAAGAACAACGAAGGAAGGCATTGTGTCCTCAGCTCGTTTTTCCACCCTGCCACCGTTAATACGAAATCTCTAGAATGCCGAGTTAGTCATGGCGGTTCTGTGTGCCAAGTGTGGTCCAGATGAGTGGAGGTTCACAATTTCTCTGGTTGTGGGTGAACTACAACTCCCAGAAAGGAAGGTCAGTTTCCCCCAAGACCCCTCCAGTAATCAAATTCCGACATATCAGGTATGCATGCCAAGTTTGGTCCAGATCCATTGGTATTGGGTTCATAGTACACTCTGGTTGTGGGTGAACTACAACTCCCAGAAAAGAAAGTCAGTCCGCGCCCCCCCCCCCCAAGACTCCTCCAGTAATCAAATTTTGACATATCAGGCATGCATGCCAAGTTTGGTCCAGATCCATTGGTGTTGGGTTCCTGGCGTACTCTGGATGTAGGTGAACTACAACTCCCAGAAAGGAAGGTCAGTTCCCCCCAAGTCCCCTCCAGTAATCAAATTTCGACTTATCAGGTATGCATGCCAAGTTTGGTCCAGATCCATTGGTATTGGGTTCATTGTGCACTCTGGATGTAGGTGAACTACAACTCCCAGAAAGGAAGATCAGTCCCCCTCAAGGCCCCTCCAGTAATCAAATTTCGACATATGCATCCCAAGTTTGGTTCAGATCCATTGGTGTTGGGTTCATAGTGCACTCTGGATGTAGGTGAACTACAACTCCCAGAAAGGAAGTTCCCTCCAAGACCCCTCCAGTAATCAAATTTCGACATATCATGTATGCATGCCAAGTTTGGTCCAGATTCGTTGGTGTCGGATTCATAGTGCACTCTGGGTATAGTGCACATAGTGCACAATCACTCTGAACTCCCAGAAAGGAAGGTCAGTTCCCCCAAAGACCCCTCCAGTAATCAAATTTCAACATATCAGGTATGCATGCCAAGTTGGGTTCATGGTGCACTCTGGATGTAGGTGAACTACAACTCCCAGAAAGGAAGGTCAGTCCCCCTCAAGGCCCCTCCAGTAATCAAATTTCGACATATGCATCCCAAGTTTGGTCCAGATCTATTGGTATTGGGTTCATAGTGCACTCTGGATGTAGATGAACTACAACTCCCAGAAAGGAAGTTCCTTCCAAGACCCCTCCAGTAATCAAATTTCGACATATCATGTATGCATGCCAAGTTTGGTCCAGATTCGTTGGTGTCGGATTCATAGTGCACTCTGGGTATAGTGCACATAGTGCACAATCACTCTGAACTCCCAGAAAGGAAGGTCAGTTCCCCCAAAGACCCCTCCAGTAATCAAATTTCAACATATCAGGTATGCATGCCAAGTTGGGTTCATGGTGCACTCTGGATGTAGGTGAACTACAACTCCCAGAAAGGAAGGTCAGTCCCCCTCAAGGCCCCTCCAGTAATCAAATTTCGACATATGCATCCCAAGTTTGGTCCAGATCTATTGGTATTGGGTTCATAGTGCACTCTGGATGTAGATGAACTACAACTCCCAGAAAGGAAGTTCCTTCCAAGACCCCTCCAGTAATCAAATTTCGACATATCATGTATGCATGCCAAATTTGGTCCAGATTCGTTGGTGTTGGGTTCATAGTTCACTCTGGATGTAGGTGAACTACAACTCCCAAAAAGGAAGTTCAGTTCCCCCCAATACCCCTCCAGTAATCAAATTTCGACATATCAGGTATGCATGCCAAGTTTGGTCCAGATTCGTTGGTGTCGGGTTCATAGTGCACTCTGGGTGTAGGTGAACTACAACTCCCAGAAAGGAAGGTCAATTCCCCCCAAAGATCCCTCCAGTAACCAAATTTCGACATATCGGGTATGCAAGTCAAGTTTGGTCCAGATCAGTTGGTGTTGGGTTCATGGTGCACTCTGGATGTAGGTGAACTACAACTCCCAGAAAGGGTCAGTTCCCCCCAAGACCCCTCCAGTAATCACATTTCGACATATCAGGTATGCATGCCAAGTTTGGTCCAGATTTGTTGGTGTCAGGTTCATAGTGCACTCTGGATGTAGGCGAACTACAACTCTTATAAATCCCCCCAAAGACCTCCAGTATGTTTTGTTAGTCATGGAGCTTCTGTGTGCCAAGTTAGTTCCAGGTCAATCATTGGTGGAGTTGAGAGTGATTGCAGGTGAACTATACATTCCAGGACGTACAACTCCTCTAAATCATGGTGAATTCTCCCCACACTTCTCTAGTATGTTTAGTTACTGATCAATTCCCGTTTGCTGTGTGCCATAGAAAAAGATAGGAAAGGGTTATGGGAGGGGCGGTGGGCGGGATCATGCAAATTCCACACCAACGGAGAGAGTAAGGAACACTGGGATGTCTGTGGTGGAGGAAACACATAAACTCTAGGATGAAATTGTCCCTGAATGAAAGCCTTCACTTGGGTGGTGGTCAGTGTGGTGTTGATGGAGGACATTAGCAGGGAAAGAGAGAGAAAGGAACACTGGGATGTCTGTGGTGGAGGAAACACATAAACTCTAGGATGAAATTGTCCCTGAATGAAAGCCTTCACTTGGGTGGTGGTCAGTGTGGTGTTGATGGAGGACATTAGCAGGGAAAGAGAGAGAAAGGAACACTGGGATGTCTGTGGTGGAGGAAACACATAAACTCTAGGATGAAATTGTCCCTGAATGAAAGCCTTCACTTGGGTGGTGGTTAGTGTGGTGTTGGTGGAAGACATTGGCAAAGAAAGAGAGAAAGGAACACTGGGATGCCTGTGGTGGAGGAAACACATAAACTCTAGGATGAAATTGTCCCCAAATTAAAGCCTTCACTTGGGTGGTGGTCAGTATGGTGTTGGTAGAGGATATTGGCAGGGGAGGAGAGAGAAAGGAACACTGGGATGCCTGTGGTGGAGGAAACACATAAACTCTAGGATGAAATTGTCCCCGAATTAAAGCCTTCACTTGGGTGGTGGTCAGTATGGTGTTGGTAGAGGATATTGGCAGGGGAGGAGAGAGAAAGGAACACTGGGATGCCTGTGGTGGAGGAAACACATAAAATCTTGGATGAAATTGTTCCCGAATTAAAGCCTTCACTTGGGTGGTGGTCAGTATGGTGTTGGTAGAGGATATTGGCAGGGGAGGAGAGAGAAAGGAACACTGGGATACCTGTGGTGGAGGAAACACATAAACTCTAGGATGAAATTGTCCCTGAATTAAAGCCTTCACTGGGGTGGTGGTCAGTGTGGTGTTGGTGGAGGACATTGGCAGGGGAGGAGAGAGAAAGGAACACTGGGATGTCTGTGGTGGAGGAAACACAGAAATCTAGGATGAAATGGGCCATGTATGAAAGCCTTCACTTGAGTGATGGGCAGTATGGTGTTGGTGGAGGACATTGGCAGAGAGTAAGAAACACTGGGATGTCTGTGGTGGAGGAAACACAGAAAATTTATGGATGAAATTGTTCCCGAATTAAAGCCTTCACTGGGGTGGTGGTCAGTGTGGTGTTGGTGGAGGACATTGGCAGGGGAGGAGAGAGAAAGGAACACTGGGATGCCTTATGAGGACAAGCAAGGAGTAAAAGAAGAGGCGCGAGACAATCATCGAGCCAAGGGAGGCTCCCCTTCTCTTATTTGAGGTCTTCCACTGATCCCATACAAAAAAATATATCTGCAACATGGTCGCTCCACAGGAGGAGGGAAAGAGAGAGGGCTGGAATGTATCGAGGCCAAACGGCCGGAGGGGTCCGTTCCTATCGGACGGTCACCCCCAGCTTCTCCAGGATCCGGGTCCCCTTCTCGAGGTACTCTGAGCGCTGGAGCCAAAAGGTGTCCTTGTCCTTCATGATGTCGGCCAGCACCGCTCCACCAAGGAACACCATGTGCTTCCTGCGTGGCGGGTCCTCGATGCGGATCTTGAATTTCTGGAGGGGGGAAACAAAAATTATTATTATTATTAATTATTATTATTGTGACACATCTGCATAGCATGCAGAAGAGGGGTGGGGTTGGGAATTCATCCCTGAACACCTACCTACCTTTATAATAATACAATATTAACTTTATTTTTATACCCTGCTTCCATCTCCCCGAAGGGACTCAGGGCGGCTTACAGAGGGAAATGCCCAACAAAACAGGTTAAAAATAAGCATAAAAAAACAAGCAATATCAAAAAGCATAAAATCAGACAACATTATCTTCTAGGAAAAGCAGATTCTATTTAATCCTTATTGACAAACATTCCAGGATTTGGGATCCAGGTGTAATTTTTTGCAGAGCTGAGTGGGTCACTTCATTCTAGCCTTCCTTTCTGAAAACTCTGGATATCAATCATCATCATCATCATCATGACACTTGGGAAGTGTCCGACGTGTGATCCAATACAACAGCCAGCAGAGTGTCCACTGTGGACTCATCTTCTTGTGTTTCAAATAATAATAAGAACAACAACAAGTAGTGGTGGTGGTGGTGATCGGCACACTGGGTGCAATGCCTAAAGACCTTGGCCTGAACTTAAAAACAATCGGCGCTGACAAGATTACCATCTGTCAGCTGCAAAAGGCCACCCTACTTGGATCTGCACACATTATTCGCTGATACATAACACAGTTCTAAACGCTTGGGAAGTGTCCGAAGTGTGATACAATACAAAAGCTAGCAGAGTGATCTTGTTTGCTGTGTACTAATCTTGTTATGTATCAAATAATGATGGGAATGATGATGAGTGATTGGCATACTGGGTGCAAGACCTAAAGACCTTGGCCTGCACTTAAAAACAATCGGCGCTGACAAAATTACAATGTGTCACTTGCAAAAGGCCATCCTACTTGGATCTGCACGCATTATTCGCCGATACAGTCCTAGACACATGGGAAGTGTCCGACGTGTGATCCAATACAACAGTCAGAAGAGTGTCTGCTGTGGACTCATCTTGTTGTGTTTCAAATAATAATAGTAATAATAATAATATTGTGCCTCTGTTTGCTTTTGGACTTCCATGAGCTAGAGGTCTGCTCATGGACTTGGCTCCAGCAGACCTCTGAGGAAGCTTGCCATAGATGCAGGCGAAACGTCAGGAGAAATGCCTCTAGAACATGGCCATATAGCCCGAAAAAAACCCACAAGAACTGAGTGATTCCGGCCATGAAAGCCTTCGACAATACAATAATAATAAAAATAATAATAATAATAATAATAATAATAATAATAATAAATACCACACAGTCCTAGACACTTGGGAAGTGTCCGATGTGTGATCCAATACAACAGTCAGAAGAGTGTCTGCTGTGGACTCATCTTGTTGTGTTTCAAATAATAATAGTAATAATAATAATAATAATAATAATAATAATAATAATAATAAATACGTCACACAGTCCTAGACACTTGGGAAGTGTCCGATGTGTGATCCAATACAACAGTCAGAAGAGTGTCTGCTGTGGACTCATCTTGTTGTGTTTCAAATAATAATAGTAATAATAATAATAATAATAATAATAATAATAATAATAAATAATCACACAGTCCTAGACACTTGGGAAGTGTTTGACGTGTGATCCAATACAACAGCCAGAAGAGTGTCTGCTGTGGACTCATCTTGTTGTGTTTCAAATAATAATATAATAATAATAATAATAATAATAATAATAATAATAATAATAAATACGTCACACAGTCCTAGACACTTAGGAAGTGTCCGATGTGTGATCCAATTCAACAGCCAGAAGAGTGTCTGCTGTGGACTCATCTTGTTGTGTATCAAATAATAATAGTAATACTTTCTATCCTGCCCTATGTGCTCTTTTTAGCAACGGACGCCCCATTTGGTACTTCGGTGTTTTCCCCGCAATGTGTGATGCCTGAGACTCACCGACAGCTTCTCCACGTCGCCCTTCAGCACCCGCTCCAAGTAGAGCTGCTTGATCTCCCGTTCCAGGCGGGAGGGCAGTCCGGGGTACATGGTGGAACCCCCCGAAAGGACAATGTGCTTGTAAAACTCACTCCTGCAAGAAGAAAGACGCAACGGGAGAAGACAAGTGAGACCTCGGCAGCCCAGGAGTCCAAGTGTCTCCAAAAAACTGGGCAGGACTGCCCTTCTTTTTGAGAAACCCACGTTGACTTTTTGTGAGCATGGCCATCTTTTCTAAGTGCCAACAAATGGCTCTACAATTTGATGTCAGGTTGACAAGACAATAATTGTTTGGGTCCTTTTATATCCCGTCCAATTTCAACCTCTGCAGAGGGACACTCCAAAAGTGTCATGCTTCCAAAAGGCTATGGAGATTCCTGGTTTTCCAAAACCTATCTTCCATATATTCCGGAATACAAGGCGACCGGGGGGGGGGGGGGGAATAAGACAATCTCCCCCCCCCCCCCAACTTTTGATGATAAAATACAGAGTTAGGGATATACTCGGCGTTTAAGAGGCATGATGGGAGCAGTAGTTCCCCGACTCCTACTGCTCCCAGCATGCCTCTGGGAGCACATCCAAGGCACGCCGCCGCCCAGCGCTGCTAGGAGTCATCCGGAGACGCTTACTTGGGCCTCCGGACACCAACTCCATGCAGCTCTGGGTGATGGCGTGCCTTGGATGTGCTCCCAGAGGCATACTGGGAGTAGTAGTTCCCCGACCCCTACTGCTCCCACCATGCCTCTCAGAGCACATCCAAGACACGCCGTCGCCAGCGCTGCTAGGAGTCAGCGTCCGGAGATGCTTCCTTAGGCCTTCGGATGCAGACTCCAAGCAGCGCTGGGCGAGGACGTGCCTTGGATGTGCTCTGAGAGGCATACTGGGAGTAGTAGTTCCCCGACTCCTACTGCTGCCAGCGTAACTCTGGTAGCACATCTAAGGCATGCCGTTGCCCAGCACTGCTTGGGAGTCGGCTTCTGGAGACGCTTCCTTGGGCCTTTGGAAGCAGACTCCAAGCAGTGCTGGGCAACGACATGCCTTGGATGTGTTCCCAGAGGCATGCTGGGAGCAGTAGTTCCCCAACTCCTACTGCTCCCAGCATGCCTCTCAGAGCACATCCAAGGCATGCCGTCGCCCAGCGCTGCTTGGAGTTGGCATCCGGAGACGCTTCCTTAGGCCTTCGTATGCAGACTCCTAGGAGCGCTGGGCAACGATGTGCCTTGGATGTGTTCCCAGAGGCATGCTGGGAGCAGTAGTTCCCTGAATCCTACTGCTCCCAGTATGCCTTTGGGAGAACATCCAAGGCATGCCGTTGACCACCGCTGCTTGGAGTCAGCATCCGAAGGCCCAAGGAAGCGTCTCCGGACGCCGACTCCAAGTGCTGCTAGGAGTCGGCGTCCGGAGGCACTTCCTTGGGCCTAGGCAAGCCTTCGGAGGAGGTAAGCGGCGAGGGCAGAGGAGGTCCTTGAATGGAGTACTAGACGACCCCCCAACTTTTAATAAGATTTTCCAGGCATAAAAAGCCGTCTAGTACCCCAGAATATACAGTACCGATATGGTGCTGCCATTCCCGTACTGCATCATCTGGCCTTAAGAGTCTTGAATTCATTTAGAGTAGCCAGATATTCCCATATTGCCTATCTACCTATAGTGTTCTGCCTTTCCCATACTGCATCCTATGCTCCAGTTCCCCCAGTTAGAGCTCTTTTGGGAGAAACAAGACTGGGGCAAAGAAGGGATTGCGCAGTTCTGACTTTTTTGCTGTCCTGTTAGCATTTCGCCCAAACCTTTCTCACCGAGTGTCGATGTCGGCGGCCTGGATGGTGTTGAAAAGGAGCTCTGCGACCCCGACTCCCTCAACATTGATGAGATGGGGCTGGAACAAGGCCTCGGGGGCCTCAAAGCGCTCCCCGCCGACCTTGATCACTCGGCCATCCGGCAGCTGGAGAGGCAACAAGAAGAGGGATGACAACAGTGAGACCGGAGGAAAACCACAGGAAACTCAATGGCAACATGTGGGGAAAAATGTAGAGATGTGGGGACATTGGTTACAGTTGTGTTGGTGACAACATCCCAAGAGGACTACCTCTGTGTGCCCGGAAGAGAGTGAAAGATTACCGTATAGGACTCCACCAGCACCGTCGTCTCTTGGGCTAACTTCTGCTCCTGCTCGATGTTGTAACCCACGTAGCAGAGCTTCTCCTTCATCATCCGCACCGTCTCGAAGTCGGCCGAGTGGTTGAAGGCGTAGCCACGCAGGAGCAACAACTGCAACAAATTTATTTTATTTATTATTTATTTCGTGTGCTTCTAACCCGCCCTTCTCAACTCCCGAGGGGGGACTCAGGGCGGCTTACACAAAGGCACAATTCGATGCCTACACAATAATGCAAATAAACGTGTAAAACAGCAATTAAAACAGTTAAAACAATCAATATATATCACAGTCAATAAACCAATCTCAAGCTCGGCGTTCGCCAACTCAGAGTCCATATTTCGTTCTTCATTATCTATTCGTATTGGTCGTCATAGTCCTTTATTCATCTGCCAGATTGCCCAAACGCCTGGTCCCAAATCCATGTTTTTAATTTCCTTCTAAAGGAAAGGAGGGGTGTCGCTGATCTAATTTCCCCGGGGAGAGAATTCCACAGGTGAGGGGCCACCACCGAGAAGGCCCTGCTCCTCGTCGCCGCCAGCCTCGCTTGTGATAGAGGCGGGGCTGAGAGCAGGGCCTCCCCAGAAGATCTTAAACTCTGAGGTGGGACGTAGAGGGAGATCCGTTCGGACAGATACGCTGGGCTGGAACTGTATAGGGTTTTGAGACACTCTTGTAATAAACAAAGTAACAACGTTTATTTATAACTTCTGGCTCCAACGCTTATGGTTACATTTGTGTGTTCTGTTACAGTCTTGAGTCGTACATTCAATATCATTCACTTGGTTAACTTTTCCTATTAAACTTCAACTGTTTCACATCAACAAATATGTTACTTTCTCATACACTCTTGACAGAACTATATTCTGCCTTAAACCAGCACTTTGAATTGTGCTCGGAACTGGATCGGCAGCCAGTGGAGCTGACATAGCAGAGGGGTGGTATGCTCCCTGTATGACGCTCCGGTGAGTAATCTGGCTGCCTCCCGCTGGACTAATTGAAGTTTCCGAACAGTCTTCAAGGGCAACCCCACGTAGAGTGCGTTGCAGTAGTCTATGCGGGATGTAACAAGAGCGTGGACCACTGTGGCCAGATCAGACTTCCCAAGGTACGGGCGCAGCTGGCGCACAAGTTTTCATTGTGCAAAAGCTCTCCCGGCCACCGCTGAGACCTGGGGTTCCAGTCTTAGCTATGAGTCCAGGATCACTCCCAAGCTGCGAACCTGCGTCTTCAGGGGGAGTGTAACCCCATCTAACACTGGCTGTAACCCAAAGCCAAGAGATCCATGTGTGCATCCACATTGAATACAAAGGGACTGTTTACACCACGCATCGGCAAACTTGGGCCCTCCAGGTCTTTTGGACTCCAACTCCCACCATTCCTAACAGCCTCAGGCCTTTTCCTTAAGACTGAGGGGGGACAGAAGGTAGAATTTGCCTCAGGAACACCACACACAAGATGGAGGACAAATGACAAGGTCTGGCCTAAGGTGAGGACGTGAGGGGATCAGAGTACACACATCCTCAAACACACAAGGCCACTCAGTTAAATGTTTATTTTGCTGCCACCAATAGGCCCCTTCCTTCACTGGAATGTTTAAGAAGCCACACAAAGACTTCAGTTGGAATGAAACAGGAATATGTTGTTTATTTTGAACAGTCAATCTGCATAATGGTTTCAAATAACTTGTCAAACTTTACTTCTTACAGAGGATGGTACTTATATCTTGAGTTTCTTAAAACAAAGTTCCAGATATAGAAATCCAAACAAATCTATTAAAACCTTTCGATTCTCCCTTCCCCTTACAGCACTCTAATCACTATAGAGGCTGGGACGGCGTTTCACTACTTCAGTCCTTTTACAGGTGCCTTTTATATGTGACGATGTGGGGAAAAAATATTTTCTTTTTAAATCTTTTTACTGCCTTGTACTGAAACAGTTTCCCTTTAAAATTGGCTGGGGCTTTCTTGTGAGCTTTTACCTTGAGGCTTTATATCACAGGCTTGAGACACTCTTGTAATAAACAAAGTAACAAAGTTTATTTATAACTTCTGGCTCCAACGCTTATGGTTACACTGGTGTGTTCTGTTATAGTCTTGAGTCATACATTCAATATCATCCACTTGGTTAACTTTTCCTATCAAACTTCAACTGTTTCACATCAACAAATATGTTACTTTTTCATACACTCTTGACAAAATTATATTCTGCCTTAAACAACACTGGCACTTCTTTCTTTTCCTTAAAACTTGAGCTCCATTTTCCTAACTGCTTTTCTCTCACAGAAGTTCCTAACTGTACCTCACAAATAGGAATTCCTAACTGAACTTTCCTGACTCTCTAACTGCCTATTTTTTAAACTTAACTCCGCCCCTTTGGAATGTTCAGCTCTCTTCCCCCAACTGCCATTCTGGCTCAGTGGCCTTTTCAAATCCTGGCCTACACTCATCTGCATACGACCAATCGGCTGCACGTATGCAAATTAATCTTGCCTCTACTGTTGCTACCCTATTTGAGCCAATTCTGCCACATTGCAACATAGAGCTATACATCAAAAATTTAACATAGATCAACAAATTCGCTACAGAGGCCTATTAACTACAGTATCTTTCATAAACCAGTTCCCAAATCTCTTCCTTCCTTCCTTCCTTCCTTCCTTCCTTCCTTCCTTCCTTCCACCCCCCTTCAGACTTCTGACCCTTCTTCTTCCACACCAAACTCCTAACTGAACTTAAAATGGCTGCCTCAGCTTCTTCTCTTTGCCTCTGTTGCATTCCAGGTCAGGAAAAAGCCCTCTGACTTTAAAACATGCCACACAAAGAGTGAAGGAACAAATCTTCTTCTACTGAAGCTTAGTAAATAGCTAGAAGAAATAAATGCTTGTAAGAAAATAAGAAAGTTCCAAAAAGTAATAAGTCCATAAAAAATAGTAGCACAAAGCAATGTCCACACCAGATATAAAAGCAATCCAAGACAGCATTTAACCAGACAGGAATCAACAAGATGCAAAGACAATCCAAAAGGCTACAAAACTCCACAGGAACAAGACCCCTTGAACAGGATTTCCATGGCACATGAACTTCATTTCCAAACGATGCCTGATCTAACAGGTTTCCCCTTGAGGCAAACCTTTTATCCCAAAACTCAGAAATTGGTTTCACTTTCCCCAACAAAACCCTGCAGAAATCTACCACTCTCACCTTGATGAGGTAGCGCGTGATATCACGCCCGGCTATATCCAACCGACGGGTGAGATGAGGCAGAGAGAAACCCTCATAGACTGGACAGATGTGGGTGACACCGTCGCCTGAGTCCACCACCACGCCAGTGAGAAGGCCTACAAGGGTAAAGAATTGGGCAATTATGTGTTGTCAAGTCACAGAATTCTAGAGTTGCAAGAGACCCCAAGGGTCATCCAGTTCAACCTCCTTCTGCCAGGCAGGAAGACACCATCAAAGACCTCCCAACAGATGGCCATACAGGGGGGAACTGACTGTCCAATCTGGGAGTTGTCATTCACCCACAACCAATAATAATACACAGTATGGATTGTTGATGATGCCACCCCAAGTGACAGCAGGATTGAAGAGAAACAACTGGAAAGGATTGAAGAGAAACACACAAATACACACATATATACACCCACCCACATACATGTCTCCTCTCAGCCTTTTCTACTCCAGGCTAAACATGCCCAGCTCTTTAAGCCGCTCCTCATAGGACTTGTTGTCCAGACCCTTGATCCTTTGAGTCACCCTCCTTTGGACACTGTAGCAAATTTGTTGATCTATGTTAAATTTTTGATGTATAGCTCTATGTTGCAATGTGGTAGAATTGGCAGAAATAGGGTAGCAACAGTAAAGGCAAGATTAATTTGCATACGTGCAGCCGATTGGTCGTATGCAGATGAGTATAGGCCAGGATTTGAAAGGGCCGCTGAGCCGGAACGGCAGTTGGGGGGGGGGGGGGGGGGGGGGGGGGCGGAAGAGAGCTGAACATTCCAAAGGGGCGGAGTTAAGTTTAAAAATAAGCAGTTAGAGAGTCATGATAGTGAGTTAGGGATTCCTGTTTTGTGAAGGACAGTTAGGAACTTCTGTGAGAGAAAAGCAGTTAGGAAAATGAAGCTTAAGTTTTAAGGAAAATAAATAAGTGCCAGTGTGGTTTAAGGTGGAATATAGTTCTGTCAAAAGTATATGAAAAAGTAACAGTTGAAACAGTTGAAGTTTGATAAAAACTAAGTGAATGAGATTGATTGTAAGACTCAAGACTGTAACAGAACACACAAATGTAACCATAAGCACTGGAGCCAGAAGCTATAAATAAACTCTGTTACTTTGTTTACTACAAGAGTGTCTCAAGCCTGTAATAGAAAAGCCTCAAAATAAAAGCTCACAAGAAAACCCCAGCCAATTTAAAAAGGGGAAAATACATCAATACAAGGCAGTAAAAAGATGTAAAAGGAAATACCCCCTCCCCCCCCCCGCCCAGGAAAAGGACTGAAGTAGTGAAATGTCATCCCAGACACATTCCTGCTTAGAGTCAACATCTCCCTTCAGTTGTGGTGTCCAGAATGGGACACAGTGTGATTCCAGGTATTTTCTTGGAGCAAATTCGGGATATTTACAATTCTTAACTTACCTTGAGCATAGAGAGTGAGCACCGCTTGAATGGCAATGTAGACGCCTTCAAACTGGTACGTCTCAAACATCACCTAAATGGGAGAGGGAAATCGACATAAGTGGGTATGTCCCACTTTTCCCACCGCAACCCATTTCCCTTTTGACGCACCTCGATGATCTTCTCCCGGTTCTTCGTGGGGTTCATGGGGGGCTCGGTGAGCAGGATCTTGCAGTTGCGGGGCTCGATGTCGAGCTTCTCGGGCCCGAAGGTGTAGTCCCACAGGTACTTCATGTCGTCCCAGTTGCGCACGATGCCGTTCTCCATGGGGTAGTTGACCTCCAGCATGGAGCGCAACTCGCTGGCTTCGTCCCCCACCATCAGGTCCTGGAGGGCAAGAAACCCCCATGTTGACAAAACTGCAAGTCGCTTCTGGTGCGACAGAATCGGCCGTCTGCAAGGACATTGCCCAGGGGACACCTGGATTGTTTGCATTTTCGGTTTGCGTTTTCTCTTTATTATAATTATTGTTTGGGCTTGGCCTCATGTAAGCTGCTCTGAGTCCCGATCGGGGAGATGGTGGAGGGGTATAAATAAAGTTTATTATTGTTGTTGTTGTTATTATTATTATTATTGATGTCTACCATCCTTGTGGGAGGCTTCTCTCAAGTCCTCACATGGGGAGCTGGAGCTGACAGAGGGAGCTCGCCCGCTCTCTCCCCAGATTTGAACCTCCAACCTGTTGGTCTTCAGTCCTGCTGGCACAAGGGTTTAACCCATTGTTATTATTATTATTACTGATGTCTACCATCCTTGTGGGAGGCTTCTCTCAAGTCCCCGCATGGGGAGCTGGAACTGAGAGAGGGAGCTTATCCGCGTTCTCCCCGGATTCTAACCTCCGACCTGTCGGTCTTCAGTCCTTTAACCCATTATTGTTATTATTATTATTGATGTCTACCATCCTTGTGGGAGGCTTCTCTCAAGTCCCCACATGGGGAGCTGGAGCTGACAGAGGGAGCTCATCCACACTCTCCCCAGATTCAAACCCCCGACCTGTTGGTCTTCAGTCCTGCTGGCAGAAGGGTTTAACCCATTATTATTATTATTATTATTATTATTATTATTATTATTATTATTGATGTCTACCATCCTTGTGGGAGGCTTCTCTCAAGTCCCCACATGGGGAGCTGGAGCTGACAGAGGGAGCTCATCCACACTCTCCCCGGTTTCGAACCTCTGACCTGTCGGTCTTCAGTCCTGTCGGCAAAAGGGTTTAACCCACTGCGCCACTGAGGCTTTTCCTTTCCTCTCCTCTCTCTATTTCTCCCCCCAAAATACAGAGATTCCTTTCCACCCCATTCTTGCTCCTTCCAAAACAGAAGGAGGGAGAAAGAAAGAAAAATAAAAGGTAGGAAGGAAGGAAACAGAGCGAAGGAAAGGGAGAAAGAAAGGTAGTTTGGAAAAAGAGAAGAAAGGAGAAAAGAAAGGGAGGGAGGGAAGGGGAAAAGAAAGGTAGGTAGGTAGGTAGGAAAAAGAGAGAAGAAAGGGAGGAGAAAAGGTTGGTAGGATACAGAGGGAAGGGGAAAAAGAAGGAAGAAAGATAAGTAGGAAAAAGAGGGAAGCAAAAAAAGAAGGGTACGTAGGTAGGAAAGGGGGAGGAGAAAAGGAAAGAAAAGAAGATAGGAAACAGAGCGGGAAGGAGGGCAGGAAGAAGGAAAGATAGGTAAGAATAAGAGAGCTAAGGAGAAAAGAAAGGTAGGTAGGAAGAAAGAGAGGGAAGGGGAAAAGGAAGAAAGAAAAGTAGGTAGGTAGGTAGGTACGACACAGTGAGGGAAGGAGAAAAGGAAGGGAAGAAGGAAGTAAGGGAGGGAGGGAGAAAAAAGAGAAGGAGAAAAGGAAGGGAGGGAGGAAAAAGGGAAGGAAAAGGAAGAAGAGGAAAAGAGAGGAAGGAGAAAAGGAAGGGAAGAAGGAAGGGGAGGGAGGGAGGGAAAGAGAGGGAAGGAGAAAAGGAAGGGAGGGAGGAAAAAAAGGAGGAAAGGAAGAAAGAGGAAAGAGAGAAAAGGAAAAAAGAAGGGAAGAAGGAGGAGGGAGGGAGGGAGGGAGGGAGGGAGGGAGGAGGGAAAGAGAGAGGTAAGGAGAAAAGGAAGAAAGTAAGGCAGGTAGGAAACAGAGAGGGAAGTATTCATGGCACAATAGGCTAGGATTTTTTGTTTGTTTTTTTTTTTTTTATTTTTTAGGGATGTAGTTTTTTATTAGGTTTTTTTTTAAGGAAGGAAAGGAAGTAGGAAACAGAGAGGGAAGGAGAAAAGGAAGGAAGAAGGAAGGAAGGAGGGAGGGAGGGAAAAGAGAGGTAAGGAGAAAAGGAAGAAAGGCAGGTAGGAAACAGAGAGGGAAGGAGAAAAGGAAGGGAAGAAGGAAGGGAGGGAGGGAAAAGAGAGGTAAGGAGAAAAGGAAGAAAGTAAGGCAGGTAGGAAACAGAGAGGGAAGGAGAAAAGGAAGGGAAGAAGGAAGGGAGGGAGGGAAAGGAGAGGGAAGGAGAAAAGGAAGAAAGTAAGGCAGGTAGGAAAGAGAGGGAAGGAGAAAAGGAAGGGAAGAAGGAAGGGAGGGAGGGAAAGAGAGGGAAGGAGAAAAGGAAGAAAGTAAGGCAGGTAGGAAACAGAGAGGGAAGGAGAAAAGGAAGGGAAGAAGGAAGGGAGGGAGGGAGGGAGGGAAAAGAGAGGGAAGGAGAAAAGGAAGAAAGTAAGGCAGGTAGGAAACAGAGAGGGAAGGAGAAAAGGAAGGGAAGAAGGAAGGAAGGGAGGGAGGGAGGGAAAAGAGAGGGAAGGAGAAAAGGAAGAAAGTAAGGCAGGTAGGAAACAGAGAGGGAAGGAGAAAAGGAAGGGAAGAAGGAAGGGAGGGAGGGAAGGGGAGGGAGGGAGGGAGGGAGGGAAAAGAGAGGAAGGAGAAAAGGAAGAAAGAAGGCAGGTAGGAAAAGAGGGAAGGAGAAAAGGAAGGGGAGGAGGAAGGGAGGGAGGGAAAGAGAGGGGAGGGAAGAAGAGAAAGGAAGAAAGAGGAGGAACAGAGAGGGAAGGAGAAAAGGAAGGGAAGAAGGAAGGGAGGGAGGGAGGGAGGGAGGGAGGGAGGGAGGGAAAAGAGAGGGAAGGAGAAAAGGAAGGGAAGAAGAAGGAAGGGAGGGAGGGAGGGAGGGAGGGAGGGAAAAGAGAGGGAAGGAGAAAAGGAAGAAAGTAAGGCAGGAAACAGAGAGGGAAGGAGAAAAGGAAGGGAAGAAGGAAGGGAGGGAGGGAGGGAAAAGAGAGGGAAGGAGAAAAGGAAGAAAGTAAGGCATGTAGGAAACAGAGAGGGAAGGAGAAAAGGAAGGGAAGAAGGAAGGAAGGGGGGAGGGAGGGGAGGGAAGGAGAAAAGGAAGAAAAAAGGTAGGAAAAAAGGAAAGGAAGGAGAGAAGAAGGAAGGGAGGGAGGGAGGGAAAAGAGAGGGAAGGAGAAAAGGAAGAAAGTAAGGCATGTAGGAAACAGAGAGGGAAGGAGAAAAGGAAGGAAGAAAAAGTAGGTAGGAAAAAGAGAGGGAAGGAATTCATATAACAACAACAACAACAACAACAACCACCACCACCACCGATAGTCGAGCCCCTCAACAGTCTTTGGTACCCTGAGCTATCCCTCTAAGTGCAAAGTGTGAAGACTCCCGTTCTAGACCCTCTTCAACTGGAAATCGGACCCAGTGGTGTTCAAGACTTGCGCCCAGCGCCACTCACCTTGATCTCAATGTTGCCCACTTTGGCGGTGGAGCGGATGATGGGGCGCCCCACCAGAGCCGGGAAGATGTGCTCCGGGAAGTTAGACCCAGCATAGCCACACTTGACAAACTGCGGAGAAAGAACGGGGAATGGGAGTTACAACCCAACAGTAGTATATATATGTTTATTTTTGTGTGTATATTTGTGTATATATGTGTGTGTATATATATGTGTGTTTATATGTGTACATGCATATTGTGTATATGTGTGTGCTTGTCTATATGCATATTTGTGTGTATATATCTATGTATGTGTGCATTTTCTGTTTTTCCTCCACCACAGACATCCTAGTGTTCCTAACTCTCTCCATTGGTGTGGAATTTGCATGATCCCGCCCACTGCCTCTCCCTTAACCCTTTCCTATTCTTTTCTATGACACACAGGAAACAGAAGAAAAGATCAACAACTTAACATACTATAGAGGTTTGGGGAGAATTCACCATGATTTATAGGATTTATAGGGCTGGGATGTATCGTTCACCTGCAATCTAAGAGCACTCTGAACTCCACCAATGATGGATCTGGTACTAACTTGTCACACAGATTCCCCCATGAGCAACAAAACATACTGGAGGTCTTTGGAGGGATTTATAGGAGTTGTAGTTCACCTATATCTAGAGTGCACTATGAATTCCAAACAATGATCTGGACCAAACTTGGCATGCATACCCAATATACCCAAATTTGAATCCTGATGGGTTTGGAGAGGAATTGGTCTGGGTATTTTGGGGTTGTAGGTACTGGGATTTATAGTTCACCTGCAATCAATGAGCACTCTGAACTCCACCAAAGATGAAATTGGACCACACTTTGCACACAGAGATCAGCAAAAAATACTGGCGGTCTCTGGGGAAAATTCACCTTGATTTGGGGGAGTTGTAGTTCACCTACATCCAGAGAGAACTGTGTACCCGATGGATCTGGACCAAATTTGGCACACAGACATGATATGGCAAGATTTGATTACTGAAGGGGTTTGGGGGGAACTGACCTTCCTTTCTGGGAGTTGTAGTTCACCCACAACCAGAGAAACTGTGGCCTCCACCAATGATGGACCTGGACCAAACTTGGCACACAAAACCCTAGCTCAACCTACTGGAGGGGTTTAAGGGGCTTGACTCACCATAGTGGGAGTTGTAGTTTACCCAATAGCCAGAGAGTACACTAAACCCCACCCATGATGCATCTAGAGCAAAGTTGCCCACCATAACACACTTCAAGTACTGATGGAGTTTCTTGGGGTTCAACATTGGCATGATGGGAGTTGTAGTTCATCCACAACCTTATGCATTTGGTGCAATTTAAAAATTGACTTTTTCAAATAACCTGGGCAACGTTGGTTGTTGTTGTTGTTATTATTATTATTATTATTATTATTATTAGAAACACAACAAGATGAGTCCACAGCAGACACTCAGCTGGCTGTTGTATGGGATCACACGTCGGACACTTCCCAAGTGTCTAGGACTGTGTGATGTATCGGCGAATAATGTGTGCAAATCCCAGTAAGGTGGCCTTCTGTAATCTTGTCAGCGCCGATTGTGTTTAAGTGCAGGCCAAGGTCTTTAGGCACTGCACCCAGTGTGCTGATCACCACTGGGACCACCTTGAGTAGCTTGTGCCAGAGTCTTTGCAGTTCGATCTTTAAATCCTCATATCATGTCAGCTTTTCCAGTTGTTGTTGTTACTACAACAACAACACTCTGGGACAGTGCTTCCCAAGACAGAAGACAACCGGAAAAGCTGACACAATACGAGGATTTAAAGATCGAACTGCAAAGACTCTGGCACAAGCCAGTCAAGGTAGTCCCAGTGGTGATCGGCACACTGGGTGCAGTGCCTAACGACCTTGGCCTAGACTTAAACACAAGACAAAATTACCATCCACCAACTGCAGAAGGCCACCTTACTGGGATCTGCACGCATTATTTGGCAATACAACAACCAGCAGAGTGATCTTGTTTGCTGTGGACTCATCTTGTTGTGTTTCAAATAATAATAATAATAATAATAATAATAATAATAATAATAATAATAATAATAATAATAATAATAATCTGGGACGGTGCTTCCCATGACAGAAGATATGAAACTTTCCTTCTGCAGTGTGGAAGAGATCTCCCTTTGAGCCAGACCCAGAAAAGCAACATAAAATGAGGAAGTGGACAAACGGGAAATGCAATGCCGAGCTCTGACTCACAGCGGAACGAACGCGGCTAGCAAAGCGGAAGCCGCTTGCAGCCTGTGGCCTGGAGTATTTGCAAACTTTGCAGAGAAGAAATGCAAAGGCCTCTCTCTCTTTCCTTCTTTCCCCTGATGATCTTTGATAGCGATGATGCCAGTTAGCTGGGAGTCTACTGTGTATATGTGTATATATATATATATATATATATATATAAAGTGAATGTTCGTATGTTTGTATGCGGCGGTGTATGTGGCAGCTTTCTGATTGCCTGCCACTTTCACAGGCCACTTTGACCTGCACGAGTGGCGGACCTGGACCAAACTTGGCACACATAACCCCCATGACCCACTTTACGTCCTGGTACGTTTTGGGGGAGGTGGACCACGGATTATGGGATTTATAGTACTTTAAAATGCTTGGGCACCCACAGACCACTGTGGCCCCCAATAATGACAGATCAAAACCAAACTTGGCACTCAGAGGCCCCTGGTGCGATTTGGGGCAGGGCGGACCATGGATTATGGGACTTGCAGTACCTACACTCACTTCTTGAGAGAACTGCGACCCTCATCCAATGACTGACAAAGACCAAACTTCACACAGAGTCCCCATGACCCACTTTACATCCTGGTGCAGTTTGGAGGAGGGCGGACCATGGATGATGGGACTTGCAGTACCTTCACTCACTTCTTGAGAGAACTGCGACCCTCATCCAATTACCAAAAAAGACCAAACTTCACACAGAGCCCCCATGACCCACTCTACATCCTGGTGCAGTTAGGAGGATGGACCATGGATGATGGGACTTGAGTACCTTCACTCACTTCCTGTGACCACAGCGGCACTCATCCAATTACCAATAAAGACCAAACTTGGCACAGAGAGCCCCCATGGCCAACTCAACATTCTGGTGCAATTTGGGGGAGGACGGACTATGGATGATGGTACTTGCAGTACCTTCACTCACTTTCTGAGACCACTGTGACCCTCATCCAATGACTGATCAATACCAAACTTGACACACAGAGCCCCCATGAGCTGCTCTACTTCCTGGTGCTGTTTGGAGGAGGATGGACCATGGACAATAGGACTTGCAGTACCTTCACTAACTTCCTGAGACCACTGTGAGCCACATAAATAACTGATAAAGAACAACCTTGACACACAATGCCTTTCTCAAATAACCCGGGCACTGCCGGGTCCCCAAGCTAGTATATATATATAAAGTCAATGTTTGTATGTTTGTATGCGGAGCTTTCTGATTGCCTGCCAATTTCACAGGCCGCTGTGACCTGCACGAGTGACAGACCTGGACCAAACTTGGCACACATAACCCACATGACCCACTTTACGTCCTGGTACGGTTTGGGGGAGGTGGACCACGGATTATGGAATTTATAGTACTTTAAAATGCTTGGGCACCCACAGACCACTGTGGCCCCCAACAATGACAGATCAAGACTAAACTTGGCACTCAGAGGCCCCTGGTGCAATTTGGGGCAGGGCAGACCATGGATGATATGCCTTGTAGTACCTTCACTCACTTCTTGAGAGAACTGCGACCCTCATCCAATGACCGATAAAGACCAAACTTGGCACTCAGAGCCCCCATGACCCACTCTACATCCTGGTGCAGTTTGGGGCAGGACAGACCATGGATTATGGGACTTGCAGTACCTTCACTCACTTCTTCAGAGAACTGCGACCCTCATCCAATGGCCAATAAAGACTAAACTTCACACACAGAGCCCCAATGACTCACTCTACATTCTGCTGCAGTTTGGAGGAGGGTGGACCATGGATGATGGGACTTGTAGTACCTTCACTTACTTCTTGAGAGAACTGCGACCCTCATCCAATGACCGATAAAGACCAAACTTCACACACAGAGCCCTCGTGACCCACTCTACATTCTGTTGCAGTTTGGAGGAGGGTGGATCATGGATGATGGGACTTGCAGTACTTTCAGTGACTTCCTGAGATCACTGCAACTCACACCAATGACTGATCAAGAGCTAACTTGGCACATGGAGTCCCCATGAGCTACTCGACGTCTGGATGGGGTTTGTGGACCAATGAACCATGGATGCTGGGACTTGCAGTAGCTTCACTCACTTTCTAAGACTATTGTGACCCACACCTATGACTGATCAAGACCCAACTTGGCACCCTGAGCCCCAATAACCCAGGCAGCGCCGGGTCCCTCCCCAAAAGCAAACAGACTGGCTTGAATCTTGGACTTTGCCTTGGAAGAGACCACAAAGGCCGTCAATATGAATATCAAGCCTGAGAGTTTATTGTATCAACTTATTTTGTTTGTGTGTATATATATACGTGTGTGTGTGTATATGGACAGTATACATATATATATATATATATGGATAGTATAAATAAAATAATAGAAATAAAATTGTGTGTGTGTATAAATAGAATTATGTAAAAATAATGTAAATGTAAATAAATTATGTGTGTATATGTATATATTGGTATAGTATAAATTAATATAAATCAAATTATTTGTGTGTATTTATACAGTAGAAATAAAATTATATAAGTAAAATTATATATATATGTAGTATGACATATATATATATATATATATAAATTATGTGATTCTGTATGTATGTATATGGTTGGGACAGTATAAATAAATAGAATTATAATAAAATTATATATATATATATATATATATATATATATATATAAAATTATGAGTGTATATATATATGTATATATTGGTATAGTATAAATTAATATAAATAAATTTATATGTGTGTATTCATACAGTAGAAATAAAATTATATAAGTAAAATTATATATATATATATATATATATATATATAATGTGATTCTGTGTGTATGTACATGTTGGGACAGTATAAATAAAATAATATAAAT